CTTCCCATGGCTTTGTTGTCACAGGGTGCGATCGCGCCTACGCCGCCCTTTGGCGATTGACGGCAAATCTCTGTAATCGTCGGGATGGGATGGCCCTTGGTTCGTATCCGTCCCTTCGTTCTTTCGGCTTTATAAAGCAGCTGGCCTTTGTCGCAGCTGCTTTAACCATGCCTATGCCCTTTCAAGGCGGACAGCAGGTCTCCATATATTGGATTTAGCTTAGTGATTATTATTATTTTGTAACACACTAATAATTGATCATCTTTTTTTTATTTTTTATCCTTAGATATGGGGAACTAAAGTGACAATTGAAATGACCAATGTTCGTTCTCATCCTGCGATTGTAATTTAACTTGGTGATTCTCTAAAATTATAACTCATAACATGACTCTGACCCCTTTAAGTAGAACAGCAAATTTCTTCTAAGACGAAACCAGCGCGCTAAACATCCTTCAGATCTTCGAAAGAACCCATCCATCCTAACGTTCTTTTAACACTAACACGCCTTCTTGATCAAACTTATTAGAAGTTAGCGATGCTAACGTAACCAACTCTTGCTTATTGTATCTTTTATTTTTCTCTAATTGCATCTTATTTGAATAATAATATTACAATACCCGGAATCGGTACAAATATGGTATATTAATTTAACGGTCACAACAAATCTATGCGATTAAACATTATTTATTTATAAAAACATTACTTTCCGCTGATTAATTTCCATAAAAGTAAAAACGCCTAAAGATTTTTATGACAGTATTGTTACTAGATTTTAAAAATTCTAATGCAAGTAAGAAATTTGCATATAATTCGACGATTATATATTGAAGATGGCCCTTGGTTCGTGTCTGTCCCTTAATTCTTTCGGCTTTGTAAAGCGGCTGGCTTCTGTCGCAGCAGCTTTAATTGTGCCTAGCCCATCCAAGGCGGACGTGCACCGCAGTGGTGACCTTGATGGCCTCTATAGGGTCACGGATCCAGCAGATCTCCAAGCGGAAGGAGTTACGGTGGATTTCTCCCGCACCGACGTCCCCCGCAACACACTGCGACAATCCTCTTCACGAGCCAGGAGAGTAGCGATCCCTCTATCAATAAGTTAAAATAAACATGTATTTTAAAAAAGGCAATGGAACAACATGCGGTACATTTTATTTATTTATACTTTTGCACACTTTAGAAAATGTCTACAGGGCGGACTTAATGCCTGATGGCATTCTCTACCAGTCAATCGTTACGCTAAACGGAGAGAATAAATGGCGGAGCATAGATTAAAAAAATTGTAAATTAAATAAATATTTTGAAAGATAACAATTTATGATATGTATTTTATTGTTGTATTATATAACATGTTATATAGTAACTATTCGAGAAATCCAAGTACTCAATGTCGTACATTAGCGAATGTTAAAGTACGTGTATCTTTGGGCGGGAAGTCTTCCTCAAATGATCTTGTTCCTAATCAGGTTCTCATTAGATTGACCTGTTTCCGAAAACATATCTCTCGTTTCTTCAGTATCACTTGTTATTTGAGGTTTTTGTATTCTATTATCAGTTTCATTGTTGACACTGGTGCTTTCGACGACATATTCTTTTTTCACAATTTGAAATGACCAATGTCCATTCTCATCCTGGGGTTGCAATTTTACTTGATGATTCCCTAAAACTATAACTCTCGTAGGCTCATAACATGACTCTGGGCCTTTTAAATAGAACAGCAAATTTCCTCTAACACGAAACTAACGCACTGAACATCCTTCAGATCTTCGAAAGAACCCATCCATCCTTACGTTCTTTTAACACTAACACGCCTTTTCAATCAAACTTATTAGAAGTTTGCGATGCTAACGCAACCAACTCTTGCTTATTGTATCTCATATTTTTCTCTAATTACATTTTATTTGAATCATAACATTATAATACCCTGGATATTCATCCAGGAGTATGTTGTTAGAAGGTGGGACCGCACCGCTTTCGTCATCCCGGCCCTTTGGTGCTTGGTGGTTAGCCGCTCTGATCGCCGGGATGAAACGGCCCTGGGCTCGTGTCCTTCCTTTCACTCCTCTAGTTTTGAAAAGCTTGGGTGATTAACTATTTACTTTGCCTCTGCCTGGGCGTACTACATAAGTTTACCCCCAACCAATGGTCCGTCGATTATTCTTTCGTTGAACTATTAAACGGCGTTGAACTAATCGGGAAATCCAAGTACTCGCTGGCGTACATCGGCGTATATTTTCAAAAACCTTTGGGTAGGATGTCTTCTTCAGATAGTTCTTTCCAGAGGCAAGTGGGACAATCGTGGGACCTCGTGAGAATTTTGGTCACCTGATCTTCAGGTATAGTCGGCAGCACCATACAGTCATTTCCTGTCTGAAAGTAATACAGATTTAAAATATTTCAAGATTATGAATTAAATGATTTTCAGTAGACATGTTTTAAACTTATATATTGTACTGATAACACTAAACAAATTCCATATTAACTAATTTAAAATAACATAAAAACTTGTAGGAAGAAAAGAGAACGGAGAAGGTGAAGGAGACTGTTCATAGTATAAGGATAGGCGGGTATTTGGTTGTGTTGATGTTATATCAACATATGTTCGCATGGAGGCAGGAAGTTTCCATGTGGCTGGTGTTTTGGTCAAAGACGACTATTTTAATACTATTTCCTAGTATGATCGAGAACTATTTATATATACCGGACTTAGCTTATTTATTATTATTATTTCATAACACACTAATGATTCAAATTCTTTTTTTATTACTTATCCCTAGGTATTGGAAACTACAGTGACAGCACCCATGTTTAGATCTGCATTATGAGCGAAGTTGTTTAAATGTGCACCAATTGTGACATTAGATAATTGGAAAATTGTAGGGTACCTTGGAGAAGGAAGTATTCAAATAATAGAGTTTCTCAGGGAGAACTTGTCCTTCAAAGGATAATATTATAGTAGTAAATGGGACTTGTCTACTACTGTAGAAATAACCTGTCATCACTCCACTAATACGAACAGAGAATGGGCCCGAGTCGGTCACTCTATATTTGAATTGTGCATTGTTTTCAAAACCTGTGTATACCGACTGTATAGAGTCGGTTGATGATTTTGTTTTTTCTTTTAAATGTGTTGAATTGTCAGACGCTTGCCATTTCTACTGCTCACTGGTCCATTCGGTGCCTGTGAAAACTTTACATACTAGGGAATACGAAAAGAATTCCTCCACTATCGAGTGGGTCCCCGTGTCTACTATCATATAGTAATGAAGATGGGTCATATAAAAAATAATAATACCACTAAACCGGACACAAGACAACTCAGGGGGAAAGCGACAAAATCAACAACACAAAATTATTTAAAACAAAAATAAACAAATCTACACATATTTATCCAACCAAAGATCGATCCAAAGAAAGATGTTATTGATAGATTTCATGTTGTTCGCAGTTGTTATGATGTCTGACATAAGGCAATTGTATTTGCAGATCGGAATATCACGCAAGGATCGAATATTATAAAATAATTTTATTTCCATTTGATAATAATCATGTGGTTAAAATATTTTAATTTATCGCTTTCCGTTCGAAGTCAAGCTCATATTTGGCAATGTGCGTAGCACGGCAATTGGCTGATGACGTTCTGAATATTTTGAAATTACAGATGAAATTAATACTTGGCTATACATGGACGATGGTCCACTGTGCCTGATGAGAAGTCCGTCGTACACCTCACACAAGAGCTAATATCTTTGATTAAGATGCTACATCCCTTAAAAATCTGAAATTAATATTTATTGTAGCTAACTCCGGGCGGGGAACTCACCAGTTAGGAGTTTTCACATATCCTGGGGCCGAGCCAGGTGTGGGTCGTTGCGTGTTTTGATGATAAAAAAGTTACTTATTTACACGGAAATAGGTATCACAATACACACGAACACGGTTACTGACTATGCCGCAGCGGAGTTCTAGCGAACAAAAATTTTTTTTTTATTTATTATTATAATGCATTCATGTACATAATATAAAGTTGTTATAATGTTCTTATGATGAGTAAGTACATGAAACCCTGTTTGGGTGTAGCAAAATTATATTGAGAGGTAGCTAACATACATGCATTAATGTCAATTTAAACAAAATAAACAAAAATTTAAAATATCATAAAAATAATAATAAGTCACTCTAGTTATTGAGGTATATAATAGTTATGTCAATCTGATTAATTATTTGCAAGTCATGTGTGATTTGAACCGTGGCATATAAGCCAAAAAGCAAATAAATATTATAAGCCACTGGCTGGACGACTGATAATGTCTGCGCGACGGCGTTAGCGCGGGAATCGCGGTGCCTAAGGTTGCTAGTGATGTACTCAACAATATTAAAATCGATCCTTTTGTTATAATTTGTGTGTTTGAAATTAATTTGTTTTAATTGTAAGTTACATAAATTGTAGTTGCACGGTTATTATTGCTCATTCCATAATAACAAGAGAATTTCTGTTAGCGTATTTATTTAAGCAGTTAATAAAAGTTCATAAATTTAATAAAGAAAAATATCTATCATTTTTTATGATGAAATTATAGCTTTTTTTATACCACTGAGGTGGTAAACAAGCATACGGCCTACCTGATGGTAAGTGGTTACCGTAGCCTATGAACACCTGCAATACCAGAGGAATTACGCGTGCGTTGCCGACCCTGAAGAAACCTGTTTACCCCCGTTTTGAAGAACTCCATGCTGTAGTCTCTTGGGAAAAACTCGGCAGTTGAGTTGGTCAGTAGATGTGATCACTAAGGTTCACTTTGATACTAATAATTTTATTAGAGTCGCATCAATAAAGGCATTATACGAGTACCTTTATCTATTCAATAATATATATACATTAAAAAATTTAATATACAATGGCGGTCTTATCCCATAAAGAGATCTCTTAGTCAACTTTTGAGAAGCTGTAAGAAAATTGTATAGAATGTATTATTTAATACAGAAAAATCACATATCTACATACTAATTTAAAAGTTCAGAGAACTCCTAAGTTAGTGAGCGTGGTAAGCCGCTCGCTTATAATTTACTGTATAACATAAATAAATTTATCATAGATGCACAGATAAGGTACTCAATATATAATAATAATATATTTTATATATAATATATCTCAAAGGCATCATTCAAAACTTCCACTAGCGCCATCTAGGTGTAATTGTGACACTTGCTGATTTTGTGATTCGGCCAATGGGATCCGACTACTGCGTGAGTTGAGGGCACCACTGTCACCACTATCCACACTGTAATGTCACTATGCCTTGTTAATATGTAATGTACTATCGCTTTTGGGCCGATACATGGCGATCAACGGATCAAGCACACAATTTTCAGCTTCGATACTTTTTTTAGTATCGTTGTTCAGATGGTGAAATATTAATGTGAATTATTCTCCAAGCACACTTGAGATAACTGCTAATGCCTATGTGAAGTGATGTTTTCCTGCCGTGATCAACTAAGCTTTGGTGACCAATCACGTCAACTGAGCTGGTGGCAGCTTGCAGCAATTCCTGTACATCGAAGAAGGAGCCCTAGTCTGGACTCAGGTTAACTCAGGTTAGTGGCAGTTATATATATACTGAAAGTACTAAATAGAGATGACCAAAATCTCTATTTAGTGCTATATATTTAGTACTATATATTCAGTTAATTTTGATGTAGTCATTAGCCCAACACACTTTAACTTTAGTAATTCTTACAATTGTCATTATTCCTAAATCTCAAAATAATATATGGCTACGATTATCTGTCGCAATGAAACAATTATAGGCAGCCAAGCTTCGCCCTCCTGGGCGGAGCTTGGCTGTGCTTCTGCACAGAAGGTTTCTGTGATCTTCACAGGCTTTACAAAGCGACCGCGATGTTCTGTTGGTTTTTGAACGTTGAGTAGCCACAACTACATGTTCCAAGTTTATGTAAGCAGTGGGTTACAACAGTAAGAAAATTTAATTAAAATTAAGGGAATAGGGTACAAAGAAATTCAGTAAGAAATTATATCAAGGAAAATTGAGAGAGAGACTTTATACAAATTTATGCTGCCTGAGAATCGGTCATGTTAGATTTAAAGAGCATTTGCATAAAATGAAAATAAATTGCTCTCCTACGTATACCTTGTTCGGCTAATGAAGTACGGGTTTTCAATAATTTCTTTTTTTACCTCTTAATATTTTGCATTGCAGCGCTTGATACTTTTAACAAATTCAGTAATGAATATTTACAAAAGTTTGTAATCTCGCGCTCCACCCTCAGTTTGTTAAAAAAAAAAAAAAAAAAAACATATAAGTTTATTTCTAAGAACAAGGAATTACATAGGAGTGATAAAATTATCAGTTCATAGCAGGCTAATGTACAGAAAATGTTATACGACAGTATAACCCTACCAAATTCAGATATAACTTGTTTGCATACTTTCTACATAAACTGTGTTGAATATATAATCTAGTAATGTAAAAATTGTTATTGACAAATAATTGACATATCAAACATTTCTATACACTACCCTGCTATGAATTGAGAAAAATAGCAACTGATGGTATATCTTTCGTTCTCTTTTTACTAATTATATTTGCATAAGAAGAAAGAAAGCAATCATATGATTCACATTTTTATCATTTCATCTATATAATTCCTTGTTCTTAGGCCCATATACGGGAATGTAATTTCAACGTTCTAAGAAGACTGAGAAAACTAAAAAAAAATAATACCAGAAATTAACTAAAAACAAAGGCTGTATAGGTCCAGTCATTTTGCCTTTTTTATTGACGGGGAAAACAAAGATTTGGGAATTGAATAGATGGAACATATAATCCATGTAGTGTATTGCTAATTGTATTTATAACATTACCAATGCGTTACAGAGGGATAGACATATAAAACTGTATCTGTTTTTTTAATAGTCCGTAGAAGTCATATTTTTCAAAATATATTCAACTTGGTTTTATTGGCTGTACAACCGTACTAAATTCAAATACTTGTTCTTAGGAAAATACAGAATCAAAATCGAATACAATCTAAAATCTTTGCATATAATACTATTTATTATTCTTTGTATAGTTTCTGTAATCTGTAGTTCAACTCACAGAACCACAGATTAGCTAGTTTATGTATGTGTAAATACTTAATACCGCCGTCATCAAAAACATTTGAAATGATAATGTCTAATATTTAATTAATAAACCTCTTTTTAAGTAAAAAAAAATTTAAAACAAGAATTTGCAAATTTTTCTTCAAAAATAGGAATTGTGTTGAAGTGTCAGAACGATTTATTGCAAAAATTTTTATACCTGTAACCTAAAATGTTACTCCTGGGAGATGTTTTTCCTAATTTTACAGCAAGTACTACGGAGGGAGAAATAGTCTTTCATGATTGGTTAGGAGACTCGTAAGCGTATTTTTATTCGTGTTTAATGTTATATTTTGTATAATATATGCAATATTTTACTATACTGATATACTTGATTCTTTCTTACAATTATAACGTTCTAAATATATTCACGCCAGGTTTTATACTGAAACTGGTGCTAATGCCTCGTAGTTTAGTATTCTCCTTCACATCTTGTAATATATACAATAGCCAGTTTATCTTTTTAATAAGTAGTATAAACCATTTAACCATCTATGTTAAGGGAACTTATGAATCATTTAGGTGTATATTTTTCATTAAATTATTGTATACAATTTACACCTGTGTGAAACTAGGTGTTGTTAGGTGGTTAGTTATTAATAATATGTAATTATTTATATAGTTATTAATAATATCTTTAACTTGAAACACATGTTCTTTTTCTATTGCTCAATCTTTTGAGATCTTTTATAAGTACATCTATGTGTGGAAGTGAAATTATTTTAATAAAAAGAATATATTTACTTACAGATGGGGTATCCTGTTCTCCCATCCCTCTGATTTTACACCTGTATGTACAACAGAGCTTGCTCGAGTAATGAATTTATTACCGGAGTTCAAAAAGCGCAATGTAAAAGTTATTGGCTTATCATGTGACTCTATATCTTCTCATACAGAATGGTGCAAGGATATCAAATGTTATGGAGGTATTGTACTTGTTTGTTTTAGATTATTGTATTTTAAAATTTTTACAGAACGCTTGCAAAATTTCACTACTAAATATGAATAGAGGATGAATTATTTTCTTAGTTGCCTCTTATGACATTAATGGGAAAGGAAGGAGTGACCCATTCTATGCTGCAATCACAGCAATTTTTTTCTATAGTGGCCATGGATTATGAAGGCGTTTTCAAACACAGTTTTTGGCTATGCTCAAAATTCTGCTTGGTACTTTAGAAATATGAAAATATATTTTACATTATTTAACTGTTTAATTAAACTTTTTGGAAGAAGCCTATGTTTAGCAGAGGATAGAAGAGAAGGCTGATATGAAGATGATGATTGTTTAATCCGATATATAGTGTAATATTAATAGAATAAAGGAAAATATTCAGACATGGTATGGTGTAAAAATTGTATTTCAGGTTACAATGAAGAATATAAGTTTCCATATCCAATTATTGCTGACAATGACCGTGCACTTGCAAGAAAGTTAGAGATGATGGATATGGATGAGTTGGATCCAGCTGGAATACCACTAACGGCTCGTGCTGTTTTCATTGTGGATCCCAACAAGAAATTTCGCCTGTCTTTTTTATATCCTGCTACTACTGGAAGAAACTTTGAGTAAGTATTATTACCCTTGTATTCAAAAGACTAAAACCTCCTATAAACTTATTTTGTCACTTTTTCAAATTAGGAATTTACCACAAAAAAAGACTAAACTCATCAGTATCTTAAATAGATTTATGAGATGACTTATGTAGATTATGCAAATAAAAAAAAAAAAAAAACAAAGTGGAGTCTATATAGAATACAGATAGTGGTAACAACATTATACAGTGGTAAAACTGATTGTTGTATTAAAAATGGTTAGTAAAATCTGGAGGTATCAAGTATTATAAATCTGTATTATGATGTGATGTAATGTATTATAATTTTGTACTTGTATTATCAGTGTCTAATTGGTTTGAATATTTTTATTAATTTAAGAGGTCATATTCAGAAGCTATGCCTGCCAGTATTGTAACAAAAAATGTATTGACACAATAGACAGTTACTTCACATCTTGGTATAAATATTTTTTCTATTTATTACTATAGTATAGGGTATTGTGGTGATAACTATTGGATTTTTAATATATCACTCGTTATGAACCAATGTTATATTATGAAGGACAGAGCTAGTCCTCAGCAATGACTAATGATGATATTTAATCTATAGGTGTTAACTTATGGGTGTTAGAGTTAACTTCATTATTTATAACGATTTTACCCTTTTTATGCTATTTTGATTTTCAATATAAATATAATTCTTAGGTACTTAATATAATATAGTTTATATATCATGTAAATTTGTTGTATAACACAGAATACTATGAATACTAAAATAGATCTATTCTTGTTTTTAATTTTTATAATAAAACATTTTTAATTAGTGAGATTATATTATTTCTATTAAATTTGTTTTAATTTTCTTTTTTTTCAGTGAGATATTGCGTGTACTGGATTCTTTGCAACTGACTGATAAAGCCAAGGTCGCTACCCCCGTAGATTGGAAGGTTAGGTTTTATGTTTATTTTAATTTTGTTAATATTAGTTCCTGGGCCTAGGTTTCTCTTATAAAGGGAGGATTTTGGCCTTTTCTACGTTATTATTACTTTTCCGAACCAAGCTATTCTATTCAATTAGGATAGGACAGTTTATCCTAAACAAAGACAATCAAGAGATTGCTACAATTGATTGATGATAATGAAACATGAATATATTTCACTCTAGCTTTAGTGCTGATTTACACGGAGTCAATTATGGGCTTCAAATTAATAAATGGCAATACTGACAACTATGCAGTTACTGACTTCATATAAATAGTAGAAGATAAATCTGGTTCCAAAATTTGTTTCAAAAAAATTGCGTATAATGTTTGCATAATTATAATTTTTACATTGTATCCAATCTATAATTTCCTCTTATTTAAAGAAATTATCACGATGATCACATTAATATGGTAATTAACCAGACAGTATAGTGTGTATGATTGTTACTCCGCTTATTAACAATTCCTCCCCACAAATTATCATTTTTAAATTTGTTAACAATTTATTTTTTTATGTTATCAATACAATACATAAGTTTAAAACATCTCTGCAGAAAATTATTTAATTCATAATCATCAAACTTTTTAATGCTATATTACTTTCAGATGGGAGATGACTGTATGGTGCTGCCGACTTTACCTGAAGACCAGGTGACCAAAGTTTTCCCACAAGGGGTCACAGTGGTACCCCTTCCCTCGGGCAAGAATTACCTGAAGAAGACTTCCTGCCCAAAGATATAAAATTTTTATATGATGATACTATGATATGATTTTGATATAATAATACTGTTATAAATTGTACCGCATGTACCTTATTTCATTGTATTTTTTTAAAATAAACAAGTTAATTTTAATTTGTAGTGTTTTTCATATTCCTATGTCTTTGTGTGGTCTATTTAGTAAATAATGCAAGAAAATTATAAATAGTTACTGTTTACAGACTCCAATCTAAGGATGTTCTAATGAGGCCAATGCTGAGCAGTAAAATAAATTATCTGATATTAATTCGTTACAGTAATTAGTCTGTTAGTCCTGGCATAGAATATTCCTTTTAGAATAGAATAGAATAAATATTTATTGTGAGCTGTACATTACAATTTTTCATAAGATGTTATTAACGTCTTAAAGGAAAACACAGCCTACCCATATATCAGGCATATATGACAATACAATTAATTAAATATTATCTGCGGGTGTCCTAAGTGGCGACTAAAGGAATGTAATGGTAGAGGTATGGGCAGCTTTATCCAAGTAGTTGCCAAATGTGACAACTACTTGTAAAACCCCTTATGGGGAAGACTTATATTCAGCAGTGGACAGTTAACGGTTGAAATGATGAAATTATATTATTATACTGTTCTCACCTATGGACAGAAGCGAGCAGCACAGTACGAACTCCTTCCGTTAGTCCGCATTCAAAGTCAAAAAACTTCCAGCAGCAGTATTTCCGAATCGATACAACATAACTTTCAAGAAAAGAGAATATTCCTTTTTAAAAGGCCGGCAGCACACCTACAATGCCGCTGGTGTTGTGGGTGATCATGGACGGCGGCAGTTACTTACCATCAGGTGAGCCCCATTCCAGTTTGCCCCGTGCGTTGTAAAAAAAAAGTAGTTAATTTGATATTTTTAATGTAATTACTGCCCCTTGTGTTGTAAAAAAAATAATTTTATTACAAAGGGCGGCTAATACAAGTTTTTAGCAGAGCTGCAAAATAGCTATATTAGACAGCTATCTTTTATATTCCTTTATCTATATATATAAAAATTAATGCCACTTTTCGTTGTAATTTTATAACTCAAGAACTCACCTAATCAAACCAAATGTTTAGGCTTTGTTCGGACTATTTAGTAGATGGTTTATGTGAAGTTTGCACAAAATCAGTCGAGCGGTTCTTCATTTATTACATTTTTTGTAACAAATGAATTTAATAAATGGCGGATAATTCTGTTAATAGGGGTTTTTGTGTCAAATTCAAACTTTTTTAAGATGGGGATTGTGCTGTCAAATTGAAACTTATTCAGTGTTGACAATACAAGCATGTTGTTATGTCATTCATGCGATCATTTTATTTTGAACGTGATTCAATTAAAGCAAATTGTCAGCGATAATTATTGCTTTGTGTTTATATTTTTAAACATATTGTTCAAATCGGCCATTCCATTCAATAGATATTACGAATTTAATAATTTATAGAAATAGATAAAATAATGCTGTCGCGTTGTACATGTTATTCGTACCTATTTTAGTGGTGCGGAAGAGGGGCAGGTGGGGGCGGGCACTTCTATGAAATAGGTAACTAGGTAGGTACAGATAAAAATGTAAAATGTTGTAAAAATGTCCACCCGTGCGAAGCCGGGACGGGCCGCTAGTCTTTTATAAGTACCACACAGAGGAGCGAAACTGTACAAAAGTCGTTTACTTGAACATTTCTGTCCCATTCGTGTTTCTACCGTGAAGCAGTTGTGTTTGCATAGCTATTTCGGTTTGAAGGGTGCTATAGGGCAGTGAATTTACAGGGTACAGAGGAATGACACCTGAGTCCTCAGGAATGGCAACGCATGGGGAGTACCACGGGGGTGCTTGCCATTCTAAGTTGTATAAAAAAACACACACATACACGCTATTGCTTAGTCTCTAAGATAGCTTTTGTTACGAGGAACCAATTAACAAAAGTCTGAAGACAACTCTGAATATTCAGATCTGAGTCAGTTCAGAAAAGTTTGTTTCCTAAATTCTCTATTAATAATAATAACTATCATAATTTCGAATCTTTTTATTGAAATTATTTAAAAATATGTATGACAAAAGTTATTTACTATTGAGATTACAAATAATGCAAAGGATAGCTTAGTAGCATTTCGCCGAGTCCTTTTTAATGAGATATGGCCATGAAACCTAAATACCAACTTAAACCCTTAGACTCGGTGCAATGTCGAGCTATGAGAATTGTCAATGATCCCAAGCTTACAAGCGGTATCGAACCTTCAAGTCTTAGGAGAGATTTTGCCTCACTCTGCGTGTTCTACCGCTTGTACAACGGATTGTACTTAGAGGAATTGTTCAATATGATGCCCACGGCCACTTTCTAATATCATACGGCTCGCTATCAACAGAGAGTTCACCCTTATATCCTACAGCCTAAATGGTCGCGTACAACGCGGTTTCAGATATATTTTCTCCCACGAACACTCAGGTTATGGAATGAGCTCCCTGTCGAAGTTTTCCCAAGTTTTCTTCAGGGTCGGCAACCCGCGCGCCCCTGGTATTGCAGGCGTTCATAGGCTACGATAACTATTTATCATCCGGTGGGCCGTATGCTTGTTTGCCAAGCCAGTGGTGTAAAAAATAGTTCGATTCTCAATATCAATTTAAATGCAACCTAAAAAGTTTAAATTATTTATGATGCTCCGTAAGTTTTGTTATTATTCTTGAGAGTAAAATTCAATGGGCTTTTAACATACAAAACCTTGTGGCTAAACTGAATTCCGGGTCTTTTGTTGTAGATTGGTAAACAAGGTTAGACTATGTGGTTACTGTTATTGATACTACTGCAGTTTTTTCATTTTCATATTATTATTAAGTATTTAGATTTTAAAGGTATTAGTGTATTTAGGATTATTTATTTGAAATGGTTCTCTCCCCCCGCTCCTCTCCCCACCTCTAAATACTCTTATGTTTATTATTCTCTGTTTTATGTATTTATTTTTAGTTGTAGTCGATTATTAGCTGGAGACATCGTTAATCAAATAGTTCATTAATCTATAGTCTATGGAGGTTTAGATTGGATATGAAAAATTAATAAAAGAAGGGTTATAGTTATAGTTTATAATAATGATTTATTTAAACTTAACTTATTCTTTACTAGAAATTTTATCAAAGTTAAGATTTATAGTGAAGTAAATTGATGGGCCGAGGTGAAAAGTGCGTAACAGTTTTTTTAGTAGGTACTTACTCATGAAATTTACAGTATGTGGGTTACCACATACTGTAAACTATTTTACTATACAAATATTAAATGATAATACATAATATTATAAAGAGAAAGAATTTGATTGTTTGTAATGGATAAATTAAAAAACGAACAATCAGCGAAAATTCAACAACGAATTATCAGCAAGTAACATTATTTTTGAAAATTCTATGTACTCATGCGAACGTGGTTCATTAGTTTAGTGATCATTAGTTTAGTTTTATTAGTTTCTAAATTAAAATATATATTTTTAAATTTAAATACACTATTTTACTTTAAAATTGAGTTCATATTTCGACTGTGAATAAAATTATTCAATTTTATCTATGTTACTCTTTATATCTTAGCGTAGATAAGATCTCCATTATATGAAACAATAGATACCTATTGGTTTTTAAATATTCTTTAGATATTAAAAATATTTATCAGAGGAAGATTTAGTATAATAATTAAATATTGTGTAACCAGCAGATTGTAAACCAGTTATTTTGATGTAAATACTAAACTATTGAACCGATTTCTATAAAATTTCTATTGTACTAAGCTATAAGAATATCCAGTCAGATAAAGAATTTTCCAAATCGGTTTAAAACTGATACAGTTATTAGGTAACAAATATAAAAAAATGCTACTAAATTGAGAACCTTCTTCTTAAAGAAGTCGGTTGAAAATCATCTGCATGGTTATCTAACTCATTCATGTATTTTTTGTAAATCAGCTATTCTTATATAGCTGTCTTTCGGTTTGAAGGTTGAGATTGAAATATAAAATTACAAGGTCGGGAGGCATAACATCATAGTTTTCCGGCATAGCGGTTTTTTATAGAACTACGGTGGGAAACAAGCATATGTCCCGTCTGATGGTAAATGGAATTACTGTAGCCTATGAACGCATGGAGGTAACGCAGGTGTTGACAATCCGGTTTAGGGTAAGAAGGTGACATCGGAATCAAAATATATTCTGTAAAATCAATAGTGCTATTCATGTTTGTTGCCAATGTTAACTGCATTTGATGATTTTCAATAAAATATTTGCCAATTTTTTTCAATTTTCAATTATTTTGCCATATACTCGTATTCCCTTGAAATGTTTGTTATGAAATAATTAAAAAAATCCTAAGCACAAATTTATTGTGGGTCAGCCACAGTTTAGCTTTAAAACTATATAAAACCTGTCAACCTACTAGTCTCTATGATATCAATTTTCATTCTTGAGTTTGCTATAGCAAACAATCCAATTGTCTAGCTGCATAAGTTATATAGTTTACCCTGGTGTCTGTCTATAATTCAGCTTAGATTTGACGAGAGCAAAGGACGTCTTTCTGAGTAATCACGCCGGCAACATGTTGCCACTATGCTGTGCTGCGGCGACTCGCGGACTGCAGTGAAAGCCCACACTTTCATCGTAGTGGGGCGAGCACCCGCCACTGGCACAACAAAAGTGAACGTCACTCAGAGCGCATACTACGCTGAGAGTTAGCCGTTCGCTATCGTGACAGTACGTTTTAAAGCGTGTCTGCCGCGGCTCGTGCGTACCGTGCTTTCGTGATGTCTAGGTGGTGGATAGTGGTGCTGCTAGCGACCGGAGCGGCGGCGGCCGGCGGCCGCTTGCCCCGAACTTCGCCGCCGGCACCGCCGCCTGCGCCCTCCCCGGCGCCCAGGCTGCCGCAAAGGAATCTCACCCTATCGTCACGATCTTCTGTCAGAAACAGGTTAGTGCTATATTACTTGCTTGATTTTCTAAAAAAAAAATGTTTTTAATGATCCATACCTTTATATTTTCATTAACTATTTTTCGCTGACAATAAATCCTTGAGAATCATTATTAATAGATATAAGTATAAATATTAATATGTTTTTCTAAAACGGTGCATTTAATATTTCACTAATTAGGTATGCATATCGGACTCGAGCTGTATAGGTATAATTATATAAATTGGTATAATTATAAAAATAAAAATTCAAAATAAGTTACTGCTATCAAATATAATGACAATAAATACTTAATAACTTTAATAAGAAAACGGAGGCATAACTCCTCTTCCTATTGTACCGAAGATTAGTGGATAATGATTATCGGTCAACCACTGTCGGTTTTCTGCTTGAAAGCTAACGTTAACAAGCGGCACCGATGTCTCAATCTTATTTTCCTTAGATTAAGAACTTTTAAGCTTTCCACCCACTTGTGACAGATGTAAAACTGTGTTAGTGTTTGTATGATTCATATGAATAATCTAGCTGTGACTTATTTAAATAAGCTCTCACATGCTTTTATGTGTAACTTGTCAAGTACAGCGAGTATTCAGTGACTGTAATGAAATGTTTAAATGTCCGTTAATGTTGTGCCCCAGTTAATAGTTTATAAATAAATATTATTTCAGTTTACATATAATTTAAGCAATACACCACAACTATTTCAACATCTTTTTGTTTCTATGTTTAATATATAATGTCAATACATTGGTGTAAATAAAGTAACTAGGTAGAAATAGTAATAGTAGTAGTAGTAGAAATTTGGAGCCTAAAAATGGTAATGAATAACTAATTTGGAAATTATTGTATGTAAAGGCTATCGGAACGGGCCATTTGTAACCTTCGTGGTGTAGCAGATTAACATATTGCCTCATCTCTTATTAGTTGCAGGTTCAATCTCCGCACAATACAAATATTTGCACTATTGAGTACCTATATATATGTTTAAATTTGGTTTGAAGTTTTCTTAGTATACGAAACTTAATGGTGTAGGGGTTTAACACATTGTCTTACTTTCCAATGATTGTGGGTTTAATTCCCACATAATATTTGTATTCATTTGCTTATGTCTATATTGATCGGGGTGGTTTCTATGTATGTGCCTACGTATATTACATAAAAATATTATTATTATATTGTTTATTTAAGTGTTCTTATCAGTTATCTAGTAAAATAAATTTTATAGATGGCGTTGGTGGTATGCTCTAGAGCTGTTTTATTATACCTATTTTGTGAAATAAGAATTGTACCTAAGTCGAATCATAAATAGCAGTAATTTTGTATAAACACCGATGAAAGTGTACTTATGTTAATGTTATGCCCTTAATTCGAGATTAATACTAAACTATTTTGGGTATACGAAATGAATAATTTTATGATTCGTAAAATCCAGTACTATGTATAACAAGGGTGATGCTAGCGGTGTCCAGGCGTGGTACGTAGACTCTAGATGGACGCAGAACTCACCCGACCATGACAAAATATGTATAAACGTCTTATGAAATAGTTATTTTAACCCCTTTCTTCATAAAATACATGTCTAAATATCTAAGAGATACCATTTCAGATATAGTGCGTGTCAATCTAACTTAATGTGCTCCACATTTTTAAAAAGAAATTCAACCATTTGTATTTCATTATGTATGTTGTGTGTGGGAAAAGTATTATTTTGATTGTCGCGTCCATTAATAGATAAGATGTTGGTATATAGAAAATGAAAGTTGTTAGTCGTGATGTCTATGTTATAATTTTGCGATTCACAAAGGCGTATTGCTCTTTTATTTGTAGGTTTTGTATTGTTTATTTGATAGATACGTTGCAATTGCGGGCGGTTTGTTGCTCGTTGCGGTAAATAGCCAACCATTACTTGAAAGATTTATTTTAATATGTTGAGGTTTAGTGAAATTTGGATAATAATAGAGTATTATTAATAAATTGATAAAATGCCACTATTTTGAAACCTATTTTCAGTATATATATTATTCCGTTATTATGTTGATGATTTTTCAACCTATTAATAATTTAAGATTTTTATATGCAAGGTTACGTATTAAAATATTTTGGAATAATGAAGTAGTTAAATTAATTTGATATTTTTAATGTAATTACTTAAGTTTTGTGTTTTTTTTTTTGTAAATTGCTATATTAATTAAATGATTGAGTTTATACGTCGATATAAGTATGGACATACATAAGTATATCAACTTATATAATATTAATAAAACTGCCTATACGTACCTATACATATACGTAAACTTTGGATAGTCCAAGAAGAAAGTCCACAGATTATTAGGTGGATTATTTCGGGGATTTTTATAAAAATAAACCGCTATACTATCCGCCGATAATACTATCTGCTTCCTTTCTTACGGTATCTTTTTTTTACTGTAACGTTTATTATTTATTTTTATAAAAATAATGTAAAAGGATCAAGTATATGTTTTGGGATCAAAAAATACTTAAATATATTGTTGTGGGGATTCTAAATTATAATGGGATAAACACGATGTCATAATAAGGAATAAATTAATATTTATAGAATTTCTACTGTAGACATTATTAGTTACTTATTTAAATATTTTTTATTGTTTTATAAGTAATTGTTGTTTATAAATAACATAAAAGGATAAATAATTTATAAACAACTGTTTATAAGTAATTTAACCACATTATGGCTCGAAAATAACCGTAATGTTCACTTATATAATGCTATATTTTTGTTGATTTGGAATTACCGCATCACTAAAAATGAGATTAATTTTTTTTTAATCATTCGATACAAGCGTATGATTTATTATAAAAAAAGAGTACATTATACATTGTTTCAATAGACATATTGTGTAACTATTCTACAATACTTTTAACTTTTGTGACATCGGTTACTAGTGAAATAAAACATACCAGATCAGCGTCAATAATATTATTGATTGGCTTAAATGTTTGTTTTTTACTTCTTCGTTCTTTAAAATGTCAATTTTACTTATTCTTTGTGTAATTTATTTCTTATGGCTGTATTTTCAGGTTATTATGTATAATGTATTTTCAATTTTGATCATTTACTTATACTGACCATTATAAATACTTATCTTTATTTACAAATGTAAATATTTTTCAATATTATTAAAATCGTCTAAACATTTAATAATTAAATGAAATTGAATAGCTTTTAATTTGTACGTAAATCACACATTGTAGGCATTTACTTTTTTAATATTTACCTATAATATATTTTTGTTTATAGAGTATAAATATTGTTTATAATATAATATATTACTGAACAAAAAGAATAAAATAAATTGTCGCGTTTTTCAAACAGAAGGACAAGAAAGTCAGTGCAATCTCTAAATACAAGAGGCATAAGTAATAAGTTGACGATAACTCACGATTATAATTTAATATTGCGTTTCATTTGGTCTCTGGGAAAAATTAATATGTTTAACCCTCAGGAGTAATATATAAGAAGAGCCAAGGCGACACAGTATACGCATATCTACTGTGTGATCTACTTACTGAAATGTAAATTGGTATTACGTATGGTGATGGAGTAAAAATACAATATTTCAAGATAGATCACACGGAGTCATTTTGTTCCTAACTAACTAGAGTTTATAATAGGCACTTTATATATTTAAAAACATTCTTATACTTTGCAGGTCTTAAATGTGTAGGCGATATCTGAAAAACAAAGTACACGTACTGTTTTTATATGTCGTGTTGTTCCGATTCATTATCCTCTAATTCGATTTCTATTCGATATTGTATGTTCCTTATAGTACGAATGATCGCTTACTACACTAATCATGGTCACGTTCACTTCCTACGTATAGTTGTTATGTTGGTTGTATTGAATTTGCGTGCTAATAATTTGTTCAATGTAACCAGTGTGATGCACTTTGTAACTATATATTTTAATCGACTTAATTATATTTAGACCCATTAGTTCCAGTACAATATCAGCGGGAGAAACAGCCAGCAATAAGTCAAAGATAAGCAAGCAATGTTATAGTGTACATATTGAAAAGTGGCACCCATCGTCTGTGGATAGGAACAGCTCTATAAATATTACATAATATACTACATATACGTGCACATAGCACTTTTATATAAAAAATGTCATAGATATAGTAACCTATAAGTATAGCTTCGCAAAATAACTTTTTAGGGACCATCATAAATTAATTTATATTAATTTAGACTTAAATATATTAGAATATTAGATTACATTCATCCTTAAAATTAAGATTCCGTTGTGATATAAAATTGTGATTTTAATTTTAAAGATAGGGTTAAACAACTCGTTACCATCATATCAGTCATTAACTATCTAATGCTGAGAATAGGGAGAGGAGAGGATAGCCAGCAGTTGACACGTTTAGTAGGCGAATTAGCAATTACAGTTAGGCTTTGTTGACGTTTTAAGAAGGACTCTGATGCCCATCCCTCGCCTTTCCATTAGTTGCCTTTTACGACACTCACGGGAAAGGAATGAATTTAGAGTATTTTTTTTTATATTTAGTAATCAAAATCATGTTTAACATTTTTGGCGTTTCTCTTTTTTTTTGACATTATATGTGTATTTAGAGTAGTAGTTAGTTCGAAGCTAAACTATATAAAACAAAAATACATACATAAATAAATATGAGAATTATAAAGATAATGCCTCTATATACCTGCTCTGGTTAAGAAATTAAAACAATCCGGTTGGCCTTAATTGTAAAGTGACTGATTTAAAAAGTCACTTCAGTGGCTTGTTCTTCAAAGTCACGGAGTTTTTCTTATAAGAAATTTATGCATTTTTATATAACTGTGTAAAAACTATTAAAGCGATTTATTTAAAAATCATAAATAGTTCACTATCAGATGGACTATATGCTTATTTACCACCTTCGCAGTAAAAAAAAAATTGTGATAAAGCATTAATATTCATTTGCAGTTGTCCAAATATTAGTTTTTAAGATAC